TTTATGAATGCAAGGAGAAAATAAATGTCCAATCGTCTCAATGGCAGTTAAGAATCTCTCTGACACCCAAATTAGACGATACATGACATCATATTATGTCAAAGTAATCCTGTTTGTTTTTATAAGAAGGTTACGGTGCACTACGAATTGTTTCGTTTAGGTGAAATAACTAATTTTACCTAAATTAAAAATTCGCAAAGAAATAGACTTTATTTAATTGGGGAATAGGTACTGCACTGCAACACCGCTTTGGTGAACATAATGTTAAATAATGATTTATAATGTTTTTAAATAAAGATTGAAGCACTATTTCCCGATTTTTTGATCACCGTTCTTCTGCATTTGCAGATTATCCTCTGTTTATGGTATATTTGTGGTATCATCTGCTTATCTGACATTCGATGTTAAAAATAAATTATCCATAATTTATAACGAGTAATTATTACATAGCCCAACAAAATGAAGAAAAACTTTGGTGCTGGAGAAGTAAAAACGAATTTTAAATACTTGCTGATGCGATGTAGCAACTCTTAATTTTTTGGAGTGGATTGTATACTTTTAATAAAAGATAAAAATAAAATATTTTTACAGGTCAAAATAAAAATTTTGTGGAAAAATTAAAATCAAATTAGCTTGTTTTAGTCATCAGAGAGTTGACCCCTAAAAATCATACGAACAAATTGAATTTTGCAGAAAAGATTAATTTTGGGACCCCAAAAAAATGCAAAAAAGTTTACCACTTTTACCCCCCGGCTTCCCCCTAAAAACCTATTATATCGTATACCATAGAAAAATATGTTTTAAATAAAAAATGTAACTGAGATAATTTTAAACAAAAATGTTTATAAGCATTTTTTGTGTAGAATGAACCGTTCTCTTAGAAACAACGCTTGAAGCGACCGTCGATTTTGCATGTCAGTTACACATACGCAATCCATGTTCAATAAAATTTGTACCAGCTGGACGGTAAAAATTCAATATCTTTTGATCCAAATGTCCTATCGATAAAACTCAAGATGCATTTTAAAGGTAAAGATACATTTAAAAGATGCTTTTGTATACAGTTTTTGTATTTTGTCGCAAATATACTCAGATTTTATACAGGTGTTAAATAAATGACGCGATGTTTGCCATTTTTTACGATTCTCGTGAGATCAATAAAATTGATCACTTTCATTGACCAGCTGTAGTAAACTTTTCATTTTTAGAGGTCAATCTTTAAAATCTTTGACATGAAATTTTAATTTTGAGTTGTGGTAACAAACATGAGGCATTTAAAATATGAATAAAAAACGCAGAATTTAATGTTTTACATTACAAATGATCACACATCGCGGAAAATGCATTCAAGAAGACTGTTTTGGGTGTAGATTATTGCAGTAGTTTTGTTCTTTTGAAAAACGTACTATACTTTGTTTCAAGTTACGAAAATAACATTACGCTTATGGAGATCAGTGTTGCCAAAACTCTTAGGCACTCTCTTTTGCACGGATGTCCAAGATATTCCCTTTGCTTAATTTTTGAATTTCCATTTTCAATTAACATTTAACTGTAAAGTCAGAATAACTACTAAAGAACCACAAAGCCTTATTATCATTATGTAGTCAGAGAACGACATAAAATAGCTGACATACGCACACCATATTATTTTAAGTTGCAATTAGTAATTAGATATATGCATTCCAAGCGGTCCGTTTATTTGCTTTTAAATCTGTAATAGCCGGCAAAATGCATGATTTAACTAAGCAATATTTTCTACTGATTTCGATGATTCATGACATATGGTATTCTCGCCGAAAAACAAATAAATTGTCTTTGCTATAATTAAAATAAGATAAAATAAAATTATCTTTTGTAAATACTATTTATTTAATTAAAATCATTTTCCTTACTTTTCATCTTTTGTTTCGAATGGGCACTTTTGGTCAATTACGTTAAAAAACATTAATTTATCATGTCTGTGGAAACGAAAATACAAATTATACAACCCTGAATCGTTCTTGTATTTGTTGTGGCATCGCCGCGCTTCTATCGTCCATAAGAAATGCATGGCCTTATATCAACAATGTTATTTTCTTAACGTGGAACGCTCTAGTGTAATTGAAAAAACAAGTTTCAAATGTTTTAGATCGTTTATTGTGTGAAAGTTTAAATCCAACGTTTTTAAAGCATATTTCAAATGTTATTAAAACACAAAACTAAAATTTCATGCTATAACTTTTAAAGGTTAGGCTCTAGTAATAAAAACTTCATAATGGTCAGTCAATGAAAGGGATAGATTGTGTTGATCTCGTGAGGATAATAAAAAATGACAAAAATCGCGCAACGTTTATTTATTTAACACCTATTTAAAATCTGAGTTTATTTGCGGCAAAATAAAAAAACTGTATACAAAAGCTCAACTCTTTACCTTTAAAACGCATCTTGATTTTTGTCGATAGGACACTTAGATCAAAAGATATTGAGTTTTTACCGTCGAGCTGATACAAATTTTATTGAACATTGATTTCGCGCGCGTAACTGACATGCAAAATCGATGGTCGCTTCAAGTGTTGATTCTAAAAGAGCAGTTCATTCTACACATAAAATGCTTGTAAATCGTTTTTTTACGTTTTTACTCCCCTGCAAGGGAGGTTTTAGGGGGAAGCCCGGGGGTAAAAGTGGTATACTTTTTCCACCTTTTTTGGGGATCCCAAAATTAATGTTCTCGGCAAAATTTAGCTTGTTCGTAAGATTTTTAAAGGTTCAGTGCCATTTTCGTTTCTGACGACTGAACTAATACTTAAGTGACGATTGCCGTTTAGAATTATTGCAATTAAGCTTGTTTTATATTATTGTACAGCTTTTAAAGATTACAAAAATTTCTTTTTCTTTTTTTCACTGTTCCTGTATTTCAAAGATGGTCCAAAAATTACTGCTGTATGGCGGACGAAACATAAACTTTGAGAAGAGTTTTAGAAAAGAAGTGATGTTACGTGATAGTTTACCAGAAAAATTAAAAATTCTTAAAGAAAAACAAAATGGCGGACATTTGAAAATAATGTTAAAAAATTGATCTCTTTTGACTTTTTTCAGTTACAAAAATTTTAGTTTTTTTTTGCAAAATATATCAAGTTTTATTAAAATCGCCAGACTAGATCCGAAAATTAACTGTCCGCTAGTTGTAAAAACGTAGTTTTTGTCGAAATCTTTAATCTCTCGATCTAGTAGGACCTAGACCTCTTATTAAGAGACTGGTATTCCCTCTGAGCCTTCTTAAAGGAGTCCCAGTGGGCAGACCGACAAATCCTCTTGGCATTGTTAGAGACATTGAGTCAGCCTGCGCTGCCTTTCTACATGAGGTATCCACCAGGTGATGGAAGAACCAGTGAAAAACCTCTTTAAAGAGTTTCCAGTCTGTAGCTCGTGGATTCCTGTATGCAATATTCTGGAGCTTAAGAGCCTCCAGCTTGATGATAATGGGCCTGTGATCTAACAGCTAGAGTTTGCCAAACATGACCCACTCCGCTCTAAAGCATAAGGAGGTCGATTACCTGACTTCTTCTAGACGTCATAAACGTAGGTACATAGCCTCGGTTCAATATTTCTATGTTGGCCCCCGAGAGGTACTGCAACAAGGCCGCACCTCGCGGATTAATATCTGTACTTCCCTATACGCTGTGGTGAGAATTGGAATCGCACTCCACTCCAACCTCCACACAGGTGGCTTAGAATTGGAACCTTCTGTAATCAAGCTCTACGTCTGGCCAACCGGTGCTGGCTCTACTACGAGGGGAGAAGCCACCTCGACCACTGCCTCTATCGCCTTAGGACCCGTGTGCACTAGCCCTTATTGTCGCTTGGTCTTAATATGACGGCAGAAACCCCTAGTCTTCAGAAAGTTAAGAGCTTCAGGATCTATCTTTACAATCATGCGTAGGGATCACTCATCTTCGCACCGGTTTAAAACCTCCCACCAACGGGTAGAGAGCCCTAGATTTAATGCTTCCCGGTTGATGAGCGTATTACTGGTTGCCTGATGTCGTCTCTCCCAGGGTTGGATTTGGTCGATTGTTCCCACGAGCTAGTCGAGTGAGGCTTGGTCGACAACGGTTAACATCGAGTACCCTCCATACGCGTCGTGAGCCTTTGCAGGGTAGCCCCAATAAGTCCCTCACATGATCACTAAACTCCAGAGACTCATCCACTGTAAATAATGACGCCTCATGTCCTTCACGGACAATCATGTGGCGCAGTTTATTCCCCCCAATTGTTCGAGCAAATGAGCCTCCAGCAGTTCCGTCGCCGGTTACGGTGCATGACCTGTTCAGCAGTCGCCCTCGGTATTCGGGAGTTGTTCCTAGAGATCTAGGCCTCTTCTTCGATGGGGGGTATTACTCTAATCGGAGGATACACCTTTCGTGACCCCGTCATGTGAGCCTTTCGGGTGATCCTTTTGACAAGTTTCAGACGTCGACTGAGCCTTGGGAACATTATTGAACCCTGTCCTGGATCTCCGTGTGTACCCGACGGCTGTACCCCGGTATTAGGAAGGAAAGTTCCTTTTTTATACTAGACAGAAGCGTGGGACCCTGACTCAGACCCGTTACCACGAGCCACCGTCTGGAACCGCTTTTTAGCAGCCCCTGACCTGATTCTCTTTTTTAATTGTTAACCTCCCAATATCCGTTTTTAGTCTGAGAGCCCGTATTTCATCCCTCGAGGAGGGTTCGGTTTTAATTTACGGTTCCTTGTCATTTTAGATCTTACGAGTAGCTAGAAATGAGCAATTAAATAACGTCATATTATGACAAACTTAGTAAGAATAATAAAAATAAAATGTTTACAGTAAGCAATAAATACTTTCAGAAAGATTGACAATTTTCAAAAAAGAAAGACAAAAATATTTAAATTGGTTCTTACTTCTCTTTCATCAAAATGGCTTTCATCGTTAGAGCTTTATTGTATATTTTTTATTTAAAACCACTTACATTTTAATAATATTTTCGATTTTTACTCAGCATCACGACAAGAAACAACGAAAACCCGGCAGGAAGCTCTGGTTCTAGTCCCGACATACAGCGCCATCGCAAATCAAATTCGTTAGATGCAGGTAACAAAAGCAAGACCGTGGTCCAAACTGTGAGGGAAAGGTTCAGATGTATAGCACCGTATCCACCGAACAGCGAATACGAGTTGGAACTTCAAGTTAATGATATAATCTATGTTCACAAAAAGAGAGAGGATGGTTGGTATAAGGGCACACAGCAAAGAACTGGAAAAACAGGGTTGTTTCCTGCTAGTTTTGTAGAAAGTTATTAGTTGTAGGATAGGTAAAAACAACGTATTATCAATCTTTACTAAAAAGTTATTTTTAAATTAAATTCCAAGTGCAAAAGAATGTCACTGAATTAGTTCTTTTTAAAATGTTAATTATGTTAATAGTAATTATTTATAAAATATTGAAAACTACAATAATACTTGTTCCAGTGAACATATCTAGTTTCATGTCAAGTTCATGTACTGGCTCATAGTTATGGTAATTTTCTAAATTTATGTATGATGATCAAATTATTTGAGATTATTGAACTTTTTTATAAAAAGTTTATTATAAGCAAGTCCACTTGATTCCTCATCGCGCTGGCAGCGTTCATTTCGTTGTGAGTGGTAGTTAATTCAAACCCCACATTATATATTTTGCAAACCTAGTAGTATAATCCCAACTGCAATTTTGAGTTAGACTTTGCGACTCCCACTTAAAAACACTTCTCCATTGTTTAAAAGTCTCCAAAAGTTCTGCAAGTTGTTTTCGTATAGTTTAGTCGGAACAGTAACTTCAGTGTATGTTGCTGAAGTTTTTGGCTTGTTTTCTTATCGTTTTATTTATTTTCCTTTAACATTCCTTAAATATTCATCTTTTGTTGTATTTATATTCCTTTACATTTCCCTTATCTATTTACACCAATCGTATCAGCGTATTTTTCGTTTCAAAATTTTGTCTTCGGTCCTTAAACTTACACCACATGCTATGGCAATATCTCTTTGAGTCATTGATGTGGCTCGTTCAAAATAACGACCGAATGTGCGTTTGGAAAGATTTAACCACCTTCAAAATTAAGAATCAAATAAAGGCTTAGCTCAACTTACTTAACAAAAATGCATATGTCTGTAGGTTGGTATGTGTTATTACTCACTTACTGTGAGAACTTGTCAATATTTTGACGTGACAAGCATGTTTCCAACTGCCGAGAAAACAAAATTGTGAAATATGTGCTCACATTTGGTCTCACAATACTGTAATTGAATATTAAGCAGTCATGTAAGTTAATCTTCTCAGTAGTCAACTTAGTGAAATATAAATCATGTTCTGTCAAGTTTATTCTTTTCAGTTCACAGGAAATACTTCAGTGTTCTATGTAAGTCATCTTTACTTCGACTTAATAAGTTTATTCTAGCATTTTAAAAAGAACTAATATAACGTCTAGTGTATAAATATCTTGAGATTCTTAATATTGTTAGGTACTTGAAAAATAAAATCTATTGACTACGAATAAACATCATACTGCCTAGTGCCATCAATATGGAAATCGTATAATTCCGTAAGATGGCGAATTCTTACGTAGTACAATATTCTTGTGTCATAATTATATATTTATAACTAAGAAAACCTTCGATCGTTTTTATTCTCATGTAATTTATGTATGATACATTGTTTTCAGCGCAATAACATAGGTAAATTTGTTTATTGTATAACCTTAATGTTATCTATTCTAATGATAGTTTTGTTCATATTTAAAGTGAACCGATACTAATAGCTAAATATTTGATCTGTTTTAGAATAATTTACTTTCTTATTTCTTCTCGTTTCTGTTCAACGTTTGTTCCTCAAGTTGAATTGCCATCTATGATGAGAAAGTGTTTGTTTTAAGTACCATTAAAATTGTTTTGTGAAAAAAAAATGCGTCATCGAATCATATAAAAAGGTTTTGAAAGTGTTTTCTTGCTGTGAAAGTTAAATAATATATTTATATGGGATTAAACTAACTAATAAGAATTAAATATTGATACAAATGACACGGTCCAAACCCGGAAGACGAATAAACTATAATTAGAATTAAATATTGTTTATCAATATGTGCTTTGTGACGGTCAATTTGACAGTTGACTTACTTGGCCTCGATCTTGTAGTAGAGAAATAGCCATATTTTGAGATCAACATCAGAATTTGATGTCAAAACTTGCTTATTTGTCTACAGGATCGAGGCCAAATAAGTCAACTATCAAATTAGCTGCCACAAAGTGCCAATTGATAAACATTTACAGGTTCACATAATTTCTTAATAATTAATTATAAACTTTTTTTGAAAATAATTTCCAGATTGGAAATCGAAACGTCAAAAACAAATGTAAATTGTAATCCTCGGTATAATCAATTTTGGTTTAATCACATATAAATACAATATATAACTTAGAATCATATATTTAATCGTCTGACGCCATTCTGATGCCATTCGATTCTTGCGATGTGCTTCAACATAAGAATCGTTTTTACTAAAGCTAAAAAACTTCAAAAAAAAATTTAATTTCTCGTCATTTTACAAATCTTTACAAAGTAAATATATTGAAGGATTTCAGCTGTATCTGTGGTTTTCTAGTGCAGAAAACTATACGATAAGATCTATTGATGATACTGTTACATCTTACTTTTGAACTACTGAAAGACGTTCAATGTAAAAAATGGTTTTGTGGTGTACTGCGGTACTCCTTACAGGTTAAGTGCCATGAGAAACCAACACATGAAAGTTGTATACCGTCCGCGTGATGTCGACATGGACTCACACGCTAGGTCGTCAGAAAAGACTGTGTAACTCAACAGCGGCTTCTCGAACTCAATTAAAATACACGGGGACATTTCGAGCCGGCCAGATAGTCTAGAAAGCAAACTTGGCCTGTGCTTCTGAGATGTCAACGAGGACTCACATGGTCCATAATATTTATAAGTAACAATTACGTAATTATATATTTTTTTGTTATATATTCATAGCTATATATTTTGTTTTCATAAAACAAAACGTAATAACATTATATCAAAATTGTATCTAAAGTACTAATTTAATTTTTTGTTACGGAATGTATGACAAAAAAAACGGGCAAGGCAATAGAATTTTTTACAGCCATTACATTTCAGTGAGGTGTTAGATAGTTTCTTCTGTGCTACTTGCCTCCCTTCCTCTTCTACCTTTGCGTAACACGTTGTACATCATATTCTGCCTGCAGAATCACAAACATCGCTGAGTTTGTAACTATTTTCTATAATGACTGGTGTGACAGTGACATCTCCTAATAGACCCGAATTACCTCTTCCTTGAATTTGGTAATCGTCATTCATTCATTGACAATGCTTTCATGCGCGACATAGGCATTTATAAGAGCTGTGCCAGTCAAGAGCTCCATCGAAAATTTTCCGTACCATTTTATTCCTTTACGTAATGGCGAATTATAGCTTTTCAGTTGATCTGATATATCCATGAAGCTTTTATATTTATTAAATTCGATGACATTCTTTTGCTATACAACATCACCGCGTGCCTTCTGCATTGTCACCATTTCGTCGGCAAATACGTGCGCTTTTTTCCTGATTTCTTTCCTGACACTGCACACGGTGAGTTCTTAATCATGTTTTATCAAAAGCTAAAATAACCAACATATTACAGTTGGGATATGTTATTTAAAGTAAAAGAAGATATTTCATGCTAAATTTTAAATCGCACATGTGTGGAATTTTGAAAAAATGGTTTTTATTCTTATATTAATTACCAAAATCGCCCCTTTTATATTAGATCATGCTTAAAAATCTAATAATTTCTTCATCTCTGCAGCATTAAAGTATTTTGCAGTAAGGAGATTATAAAACTAGATTCTAAGACCTTTAATTTGCAATTAGATAAAAGTTTCAAGCACCTATAGAGCCAAAAATATGGGATTTTAACCTTTTTTTTTATTATTTTTGAGTTAAACGCCAATTTTACTCGATTTTATATTAATGACTGTAAATTCAATTCAATAATGTGTATATACTTATATGCATTTTATGTTTATATCAATGTATTCACTATCAAGAATGTTTATTTAAATACAATAATTTATTTATTTATATTTTTTTCTAATGTTTGTGTTACAAATTGAAGTTACATTTTTTTGAATTTTGAATTTACATTATATATATATATATATATATATATATATATATATATATATATATATATATATATATATATATATATATATATATATATATTACAGTTTGAAATAATATATGTAATAATATAAATGATGATTATACATTTTTTCAGATGAAACTTACATTTTAAATATGAAGCGAGTTGTATTCACAAACATATATTTTGGATTGTTTGGTTTGATAATATATTTGTTATTCCAAGTATTCTTAAAATCATGGTGAACAGCTTCAAAAGCTTGTTTTGAAAAATATCCTAAACCGATTTCATATTTTGTACAAAAATCTACTATATGGAAAAAAACTGCGTGTACTTTTGTAGTGATAGGAATAGAAAGATGGATATAACTTTTTATAAAATTTGAAATACAATTAACATAGTTGCTTTTTAATTCTGTGAAAAAACAAGCTTCAACAACAGAATTAAAATCGACAAAAGCTTCCACATAATCCAAACACTCTAAAAGACTGTAATCATCACAGAGTCTACGTAAAGAATTGTACATTCTGTTTTCAATAATTTTCTATAATCACCCTTATCAAAACCAGAAGAACCACGGAATATTTTACGCTGAACGTAACATAAGGTAGCCCAATTTAAGGAAATACTTTGAAATGTTTTAAACATTAATTATAAATCGTATTTAAAACACCAATAATTACATGAAGCTCAGGAGATACTAGTAAATCTATAATCAATGTCTCTGATTGTGCGTCAAAACTTTTATTTACTATTGGCAAATTAACACAATTCATGTATTATCTAGCATCTTTTTCGCTTCCACCTGCATTTATATATTTTTTTATTTGTTCTACTGTTCTGAGATTTCCATGTTTATCCAATTCAGCTTTACTCACGCAACACCAAAGTGTATCAAGTATGCATACAACTATGAGAACAAATTCCACTTATTAAATTTGCAACTTTTAAATTCACAGAAAAAAACCATTTATATCTTGTAAATTAATTGATGAACACAGCATTTTTATATTATTATACGTCTCTTTACATTCGCGTACAAGGTCAACAATAAGTAGCTTGTTTACCCCAGAATCGCGGAATTTTTTTAAATTGTAAGCTATTCCTTCTATATAGGTACGTCTACGTTGTGGTATATTATAATCAGAGTCGATTTGAGGTGGAGACTGAATAGTTAAACAAAGCTTTAGAAAACCTCCACCCCCATCTATCTCTAACTTAAGATAATCATCGACAATCCACTATTCTTTTGTGTAAACTCAATTAGACCAAAAATATCATTGCAACAAATAACTTTTTTGTGTCATTTTCAAGATCAAAATATTTAATATCGAAATAATTGAATGGATTTTTTCGAATATCTTTATTTTCAAATCTTTTCAACTACAGTTCTGCTGCCAGTAGCTTTACGTATTAAAGTTGCAAATTGAAGTGTTTTTCTTTGACTCAAATTTAAATCGCATTGAGTCATATTAAGATCATTTGCATAACGAAATTTCTTATTGTGATTTTGATTAAAAATTATACTTCGTCGTTTTTTCCCGAATATTTGAGAGCGTCGTAGTATTTGTAGTTTTTGATTTACATTTATCCAAGATATTTGCAACATTGAGCATAAATGCGAAGGAGTTACATTTGTGTTATATGCCTCTTGTGACGATTGATAGACAAGAATCGCATCTTTTATCCAAAATAAATTTTCTTGACGATGTTGGAACAATAGAATTACCCATAAAAAACCAACAAACGTTAATCATTACAGTCATTAATAAAAATCTGATAAAATTGGCGTTTAACTTGAAAATAAAACAAATCTTTAAAATGTTATATTTTTGGCTCCATAGGAGCTTGAGATTTTTATCACATTGGAAATTGACGGTCTTGTTATCTAGTTTTATAATTTCCTTACTGCAAAATACTTTAATGCCGTAGAGATAAAGAAAATATTGAATTTTTAAGCATGATCTAATGTGAAATGGGCGATTTTGGTAATTTTACGAATAAAAACGTTTTTTTTTTTCAAAATTCCACACATGGCTATTTAAATTTTAGCATAAAATATCTTCTTTTACATTTTTTTTATTGAGTTTAATGCGTCGACAACTAATGGTCATTGGCATGGTACAGTGAATTTTTACAGTCAGGTACCTAGTGTAGTGTGTGTGTAGGTGTAGAGTAATTCTCTTGATACCTAGCAAAGTCGACGTCATTGTCTTTACTAAGAGACGCTAATTGTATCCGAACGTCTGCGGTCCCTCCGGTGAGTACCGATCGCACAAGGATAGAAATTGTTTTCATTTATTAATTTTTAATAAACGAAAATTTCTCCAC